CTCCCCGCTTGTACATAATAAACCTTTTTTATATTTCCTGAACAACAGTGAAGTGTCTGTATGTAGTGATGAGTCCATCTTGTAGATAGATTTTTTTTAACTGTGATGAAAAATACCTTTATGCCAAGACAAAATAAAGGGTATAAACTGTCTAGTTAACTGCTTTGTTTATTTGTGTACAATTGTTTTTCAGCCTCAAAATGTGAAATATTTCAGTATGGTGTAAACATTTTGTTGTAAAATCATAAATTGAACTCAAAACTTGCAGACAACCTGTTATGGTGCTGCTGTTAATATCCAAGAAGCCTAGTTTTCCTCTGAATTTTGTCTGACATAACTCTGGTTCCTCAGTAGTGTTAACACATCTCCAGGGCCCCATAGTCTTAACTTAGCCCTGATGGATTATGGGAAGGGGACTGGGGCGGTGAACACAGCCCCAGCCTCATTCAGAAGTTATGTAAGTGCACCAAAAGGGCCCTGGAGGTTCCAGCGAAATACGTCAGGAAGGATCCCACCGGAGCAGGTTTAATTCAGATCAGGGAAACGGGTTGGATATAAAATCAGGAGAAGAAGTGAGGCCCATTTCAAATATTTTATTCATTCATACTGCAGGGCTGCTGGGGTCAAAGGTCAGGGGAATAGGGATGAACAGGTTCTTTTTTTTCTCAAAATAATAAAGTGCAGATAAAAGTACATTCCTTTAGTTGTAGAAGCTGAAAATGACTAAATAAAATGCAGCCAAGTTGCAATTCAAAGAGCTACGAAACTGAATTCCCTAATGTGGTTTTGAATGTAGACAGTCCATGACTCAACAAAAACACAAAATGACCCACAAAAGTGCACGAGTCCATGCTGGGTGTCACGGTCAGCAGCAGGTTTGTTTTGGCCTTGTTGGGTGTGTGTGTGTGTGTGTAGGGACCAAGTGTGAAACTGATGGTGAGAGTGTGAGCTGAACGTGCACAGCACAGCAGAGTGATGTGATTGGCTGTCAGCGATTGGCTGTTAAATCATGACCTAAATACCAGTGGGTGTGACATGAGACGAAGTCGAGAGGTCACAATGCATTTAGCTTGAAGGGGTCTCTGTGTATGTTTGTAAGGGCCTGCAGGTTGACCTGGATATGTTGTGTCCAGTCTCTTCCAGCTCTGAAGAATTACAATGAAAGAAGGAAAGGAAAGGAAATAAACTTTAATACATATACCATCTGTACATATACCATCCATACAGTATACATGGTGGTGATTTATTTTGAATGGATGCAGCCTACCTCTGTGTGTTTGGTTAACGTGGTTTGACCTCCACCTTATATCACAGGGGCGAAAAAGTACCAATGCAACACTGTAAACAGTACAAGTAAAAGTCCTGCATTCAAAAAGACCATCTGTAAAAGTACATGTTTTGGGGGAAAAATGGCCCTACCACTGATATATTATTATTCATTAAGTTGTTATAACTGATGCATCAATGCATTTGTAGCATTTTACTGTTGCAGCTAGTCGATGCGGTTTCTGTACTTTTTGCTACTTTATATACAGTTGCCCTCCAAAAGGTTGCAAGATAAATCTGAGGGGCCCGGAGATGATTCATGGGGTAGGAGAGAATAATCTTGGCTTTTATTGTGAAGTAACCGATACTTCTACCTCTTTGGTCCTTGAACGATAATTGATATAAAACCATGTGAGAGGTTTAGAGGAGAAATGTTTCTTTGGTGGAACCAGACACTGCAAAATAAAAAAGTATAATATTTAGTAGCATAAAATGGAAATACTTGCTTGTACAAGTGCCTCAAAATTGTACATGATGTGCAGGATTCAGTGTTAGGCTACTATCAGGGAATCAATTCCTGTCTACTTACAGCAAACCTACATACTGTATATTATAACAGGTAAATTCATTGTTGACCATACTGCATTTTCTTCTATAATCTGGTCTAAACCTCACTGACAAACCAAGAAAAAGGTCAAATTAGTGTTCAGAGAAACGTCAATCAAAGTAGATTTCATTACAGACTAAAGACTTAATCAAGTGTTTTGCTCACAAATATTATTTTAATTACCTTACACTTAGGCGAGCCCCATTTGGATTCACAGCTATTTTCAGGGAAAGTTGGCCAAGACTGACAAGCAGTTTATCCTCCGGAGACAAAATACAATCTAAATCACTGTCAAACTCGCTGCATTTGCAATATAAGTGAAAGCCAAGAATTCTTTTATTTGCATGCTTAAAGGGGCAGTTCCCCCCAAAATTAAAAATAAATATTTCCCCCCTTACCTGTAATGCTATTCATCTATGTAGATTGTTTGGGTGTTAGTTGCCAAGATATTGGCTGTAGATTGGCTGTCTGCCTTCTCTTGAATATAATGGAACTGGGTGGCACTCAGCTTGTGGTGCTCAGAGCTTCCATAAGCATATTAATATACATTTGAAAAACTAACACACTAACTAACAACAAGGTCTGTGGGTTATCTTGGGTAACTGGGTCATCATTTCTAGAAAGAGACATTGCTGTTGTGTTTTTCAAATGTATATTTTTTTGGGTGATTTGAGCAGCCGAGTGCCATCTAGTTCCATAATATAGTAATAATAATAATAATAATAATAATAAAGAGAGGAGGCCGATACTTCCAAAACCCAACAACTCACATGAAAATAATCTAGATGATAAACAGCTCTACAGGTGAGAGGGAAAATATGTATTTTTGATTTTGGGGTGAACTTCCCCTTTGAGAAAACAATAACACATTATAATACAATAGCAAGCCTTGGCCTTGGTTCAGCAGCGTTTATACTAGTGTTACTGTAAGTTAAAGAAAGGTAACAATCTTATCTTCTAAAATCCCCACAGACTGCATTCACATTCCTATACACTTTATCTTTCCTGCTCTTTTTGTCTAAGGCAAAGTTTAAAATGTGTTTCACTATCAGGACAAACAACTGGCACAAACCAAGTTTGGTTTCACAACCACAGTTTCTCCACCCGGACACGTTCACAAGTCTCATATGACCTGGTCGTGTTTAGGAAAATAACTGCGGTCTTACTAATGTTTTCGGGGGATGTTCAGCACATAAATATCACAACTGTACTGCTGTTCTCTTTTCTCTCACAGCTAGCCTTTGTTCAAGTGCTCAACAGGAAAGGTTTGTCACTGATTAAATAAACAGGATATCAGTGTGAGTGCCATAGAAATGAGGTTTTTGGGGAACGGTTGGAGAGAGTTCAGAATAATAAAAAACAGAGGGTATAAACTAGTTTACTGTTTTCTTTATTCATGTAACATTATTCTATGCAAATGTATGTTTTTGTCGTTGTTTTCTGAGTTTAACATGTCAAACCTTTATTATTAGAGTCAGTAAAAATAATTATAAAATTAAATTCAGTATTAGAAATCAGCCTAGTCATGATGACTGGACCCAAATGGTATAAATACTTTGTCATAAAAGAATAAATCAAACTCAAAACGTGCGCACATCCTTTTGTGGAGCAGCTACTAATAACCAAAGGCTGAAGTTTTTGGGGAAAGGTTGGGGAGAGTTCAGAGGGTTTCAAGTCTAAACTGAGGCAATCAAGGAATTTCAGTACACTGAAAAAAGTTAAAGAACCGCAGCTGTTGCTTAAGTATTTTGAATTACGTGGTTTTTTGGTTTTTTTTCACAGTGTAGCCACAATTCACCGTTCGTCCTCACGTTGCAGAAAATATTATATTACTGCTTAACAAGAAAAGTATAAAAGTCACTTATAGTTTAATGAGTAAATCTGCACCTGAAGAGCACAGTACCTTAATGAATAGTGATAATAAAAGTGCAAACAGAATGAGGTCATGAGAAATTCAACAATGACCACCACAGACGAGCTTTAAGTCACTTTGAAGTAACAGATTGGTTCCATTAGGATCCACAGAACGTCAGAAAGCTTTCAGGGTTTCATACTAATGCAATGGATGGCAGGCCATGAATTAGATGCAAAATATTACAAGGTAATAGTGTCATAGGATGGTGTGTGTGTGTGTGTGTGTGTGTGTGTGTGTGTGTGTGTGTGTGTGTGTGCTTCTTATCTGAACTCTCCATTTGCAGCCTGGTGTCACAGGGGTCAGGTTGAAACTGTAAACCAGCAGAAACTCAGTGAGCTGTTATATTTAGTCTGTGCTCAGGGGCTGCAGGAAGCTGCATGCACACGCCGCAAATGAGAAAAACAGTATTAAATATATGGTAAATATATGTTCTCCAGGTCCTCACTCAGACTATATATTTAGTTGTTTTTTTTTAAGCTCTCCTACAATGTTTGACCAATGTGGGCTTTTTGATGTTTATGCTAATTTCCTGCACAGCTTAATCATTGTGACTCAATGGGATAACCCAGAATGAGGAAGCAGAGTGAGGTGATGTGACACTCTGCACGTTTCCTCTCAGACTGTATAAATAATAAATAAAGTGGTAGAAAACAGATAAATGACTATTTAAAATAATAGCACAGTAATAGATGAAGGAAATGACATTCAAAAGCTAAATACATTATATACAATACATCAGCCACATGCTAATCATCGAATGACTATTGCCCCCCTGCGACCATTTATAAAACTATATAAACAAGCAACAACATCGGAAATATTTGAAAATCAATACATTAAAATACACAGCGAGAGAGTGCAATAATTCATATATAGAATAATAATAATGATTCATATATAATTACTGCTGTAGTAGCACAATGAAGCGACTAATTCAAACATGCATCATAAGAACTTTTACTATAAGTATACATTATATGTTGTTACCGATAATAGTAGACTACATGTAAAATAATAATCAGAAATATTAAATAGAGTAACCACAGGGAGGCGCTGTGGCTGCCTCTGTGTGTGTGTGTGTGTGTGTGTGTGTGTGTGTGTGTGTGTGTGTGTGTGTGTGTGTGTGTGTGTGTGTGTGTGTTTGCATTTCGTCACAGCAGTCACGTTGCTTCCCGGCCGGGCGGGCGGAGTTAAATAGAGGATGTGTGCCGCAGACCGGCAGATTAGCCCGGCTCAACGCGCTCTGCAGACACTGTGAACGACCCGGTTCACTGCGCCCGAACGGAGGCTCCGCTCAAACAACCACCTGCTCTATTTTGTCCCTTTTTTCCCCGGGATCTAAGCGGCTCTTCAGTCTCTAAGGAATGCCCAGAGAGCTGACCCAGAACAGGATCCAAAAGATCTGGATTCCCACCAAAGATGACAAGCCGGCACCCCGGAGAGGTAAAACTAAAATACTCTTACTCTCTTTCTCTCTCAGAGTATCGCTATAGAAGTGTAGTGCCGGTATTAGTAAGTAGTATTAGTGTTTCTGGCGTTATCTATCTCTATAATACATTTATATGGACTTATAATGTTGATAATGTTAACGTGTTATGGCTCTTTTTTTTATCTCTTACGGCTAATTGTGACGAAGTGTCTCTGGTATTCAGGACCAGCTTGAATCATCACTAGCCTACTTCTGTTTCCGTAGTACAACCATATAAAGTCTAATACGTGTTTCTACTGAACTAAAAAGCGGTTTTAATTTACATTTTTATTATTATTTCTTCTTCTTCTCCATGTTTCCGCTATATCTGTAGTTAGCTAATTAGCATCCCTCGCACCTGTCGGTCGTTTGACTCATCATCATTTCATTGATTGGTGGTCCTCATCAGCACGCGCCGCACGTCAGAGCCATCCTCGTAGCTGCGGTCGCCATGGTAACCGCAGCGCCCCGCAACCTGTGTGTGACGGTTTTGGAGCGAAACCGTCTTCTAATTGGTCGGCCAGCGGCGCGTGTGCATAGCGCGACCCTGCCGCTGTGGCGTTTGTGGCTTTGTATGAAAGAGAGCACGGGGAGATTATTGATGAGGGTCGCCTGCTCAAAATCAATTTAACGCCACTGGGAAGCTTTCTCCTTTAGTTTGGCTATTTAAGATTTTTTTTTTTTTTTTTTACAGCTGCTGTTAAGAAGGTCAGAGGAAAAATATCTGCTAATTTAAAGCAAGAAAAAAAAAATACACTTATAGCTTCTCTTAGCTCAGACACATTGCCTCAAATTCCTCCTCAAACTGGGGTTCGCCAACATTTCTGCTCAAACTTCGAGCAGAGGAAGACTCTATCCTGCTTGCTTATAAGATTTGGTTCAGACAGACCAGCTGCACATGTAGATCCACATTGGTCCCTTCCTACTCTTGCTGCTGCTCATTCATTATTGATGTGATATTGAGGTTTACTGATCAATGAGAGGGAAAGAGCACTGTCCATGCTGAGGGACTGGCTTCTCACTTGTGCCTAAGATCTGATTCAGACAAAATTGAGGCTTTTATCAACTGTGTCCCTAATATTTTTTTTCCTTAAGGAGGAGAGTTTAAATAATAAAAGAGCTTTGAGGTGGGATGGGATGCTGTGCAGTAGGTGAGATGGACTGGTTGGGGGAATGGTGAATCAGATGTCTTGTGTTATGGAAACAGGATTAGCAGCACTGCGAGGAAGAATAAATGAGCTCTCAGGGCATTATCAGGCGATGAGTGGTCACTGCTGATGGAGATGGAGAAAGCAATCCTGCATACCTGGGTGAAAAAAGACCCTTAAAAGACAAAAATGACCTACAGAACATATTTTTTGGGTAGAATCAACACCACTGCAACCCTCCTGCCCACTGTGTGGATCCAGGGCAGCCTTCCCTGCAGCGACGTGCCATATGATATAAAATCTCCTCAGGGGCTCTATGCTGGGGTCACAGTATATTTGTGAAAAGTGAAAACAACTCTTCCTTGCTCGTCTAAGCTGCTTCAGAGCGCGTAGATATGGGTCAATGTGCAGTGAGGTGGAAGTAAAAGGCTAGTCTGGTGGCAGCAGGCACCCTCGTGCTCGCTGGGAGTGTGTCAGCATGGAAAGAAATAAAGATTATAGGTAAATAAGTGGTTTTGATAAATAAATCCAGGCAGGCTGCAGCTCTGGTTATTTGTGCCAGCTCTCTGGCTGCCTCTTATGGGTCTTCTCGGGTTGCAGAGCACAACATGTAAATTCTCTCCTTGTTGCAGTTTGTAAACAGGTGCTGTTACCGTAACATATCTCCCCCTCTGTCCCTCTCTGCAGCAGCTGGCGCCCCCTTTGGCCACCCCCCCACCGTCATCGTGATGGTGGGTCTCCCCGCTCGAGGCAAGACGTACATGTCCAAGAAGCTAACCCGATACCTCAACTGGATCGGCATGCCCACCAAAGGTACACAACAGACACACATGTAAACATCCCTATCAGGATGACACGCCACTGCCATGAAGTGTTTTGGCAGCATCAACTTGCATCCTGGACATAATTTCATGCTCATTCTTCCTGTGTGTGTGTGTGTGTGTGTGTGTGTGTGTGTTGTAGTCTTCAATGTGGGAGAGTACCGCAGGGAGGCTGTCAAGAACTACAGCTCCTATGACTTCTTCAAGCCCGATAATGACTGTGCCGTGAAAATCAGGCAGTAAGTTCCACACACACACACACACACACACATACACAGTTAGTCATATACTGTAAATGCTTTAATGATAACACTAAATGAACATCTCCACTGTCTTTGTTTTCTTTAGGCAATGTGCCTTAGCAGCCTTGAGGGATGTCAAGTCCTATTTGAAGGACGAGGGAGGCCAAGTGGCGGTGAGTTTCCCATCATGCATCACATGCTTTTTCTAAAACTGTCCTCAAATGTGCGACTTTATGATCAACGTCATCGTCTTACACAGCTGTTTCATGTTTCTTTCAGGTCTTTGATGCCACAAACACGACAAGAGACAGGCGAGAGATGATCCTCAAATTTGGCACTGAGAACGGCTTCAAGGTGAGTGTTACTACGGTGACCGAAAGACTCAAGGTACCACCTCGTCGACAATGCAGACTTTTAACGGCTTTTTCTTTTTGTGCCTAGATCTTTTTCATCGAGTCTGTGTGCGACGACCCCAGCGTCATCGCGTCAAACATCATGGTGAGTCACAAACATGACATCGCAATGGTGCTGTGTGACACATTAAATAACATTAAATGTTTACAACTCTCTGGCATCAGGCGTAGCATTTGCCGTCTGACAATCTGCCCTCCCCGCACAGGAAGTGAAGGTGTCGTGTCCAGACTACCGGGACTGCAACAAGACTGACGCCATGTTGGATTTCCAGAGGAGGATTGAATGCTACAAAACCAGCTACCAACCCCTGGACCCTGATCAGCATGACAGGTGAATGACCAGTATTTTTTTGTCAGGACGTCAATTTCAATTTCCAATACAACTCTCACAGAAATCACTCATCCCATCCTGTTTGCCTTCTTCCTCCAGGGATCTCTCCTTCATCAAGGTGATAGACGTGGGTCGGCGTTACCTCGTCAACCGGATCCAGGATCACATCCAGAGCAAGATTGTCTACTACCTGATGAACATCCACGTCCAGCCGCGAACCATCTACCTGTGTCGGCACGGAGAGAGCACCGACAACCTGGAGGGACGGCTGGGCGGCGACGCGGGCCTCTCGCCGCGAGGCAGACAGGTACGAACAGCCGCAGACAGAACCGCAGAAGTACACGTTTAGCAAGATGAGAAGTTTTTTACGCCATAATGGATCAACTTCAGGCGTTAAATCCTGTTCCCTCCTCACTGTAGTTTTCGACTGCCCTGGCTCGGTTTGTGGAGGAGCAGCAGCTGAAGGATCTGAAGGTTTGGACCAGCCAGCTGTGTAGCAGCATCCAGACCGCCGAGCACCTGGGGGTCCCGTACGAACAGTGGAAGGCTCTCAACGAGATAGACGCTGTGAGCAACACACACTATCACACCATATCACACAGCTTTATCAGTCGTTGTCGAACTGAAGTATAATGCTTTGGGTGTGTTCGTTTTAGGGAGTGTGTGAAGACATGACGTATGACGAGGTGAAGGAGAAATTCCCGGAAGAGTTTGCTTTGAGAGATGAAGATAAATTCTACTATCGCTACCCTGCTGGAGAGGTACACACACACACACACACACACAGTCTACAACCACTGGACACCTTCACACTTAGGCCAAAATCCTGTGGGCTTTGTAGTGTGATCAAATAAACAAACAATGATAAACAACCCCACCCTCCTGATTGCAGTCCTACCAGGACCTGGTCCAGAGGGTGGAGCCGGTCATCATGGAGCTGGAGAGGCAAGAGAACGTCCTGGTTATCTGCCACCAGGCCGTCATGCGCTGCCTGCTGGCCTACTTCCTGGATAAGAGTGCAGGTGGGTACTACAACTCCCATAAGCCCAGAGGTGTAGTGTCATGATCTAGATAATGAGTTATAATACTCCAGTCTGATACAACTGTGTTCATACCTGTGTTTTTTCCTCGGATTGGCTGTTGCAGATGAGATGCCCTACCTGAAGTGTCCCCTCCACACAGTGCTGAAGCTCACCCCGGTCGCCTATGGGTGCAAAGTGGAGTCCATCTATCTGAATGTGGAGGCAGTGAACACCCACAGAGACAGACCAGAGGTAATGCTTCATAGACGGATTACTGGGACTTTGTGCTCAGATAAATAGAAAGTCAGGGTCACATCCTGTAGAACTGCTGGGGGGTGGGAGTTCATCACAACTGGAAACGTAAAAAAAAAATGGATACAGCTTGGGCTTTATTTCTGAGTCTAAGTGTTGCATGTTGATCTTCCTCTGCAGGAGGTGAAGAGGGGCCCTGGCACATTGATCAGGAGGAACAGTGTGACTCCTCTGACCAGCCCTGAGTCAAACATCAAGAAACCTCGCATCGATGACCTAGACGAGGCTCCGATCCAGGAGCTGCCCCCATCTGTCGCCTCACTGGCGCTCTGCAGCCCCTCACACCTCCCTCTCGCCCTGGCTGGACAGGTAGGATTCTCACAAACACACACACAAACGCACTTATTGTCAAATGATTAAGACTCAAGTCACGAGAAGCTGATGCCTCACACCCAATTAGAGATTCTTTATGGTACGGTTTGTGTTTCTGCAGAACTCTTATTTACTCAGGATGGAAAACCCTCTTTCAAACACAGACAAAAACATTTCCTTCATCTGTTTCCTTTCTGACAGCTTCTGTATAAACTGCATGTATGTTCGCTCACTTGTTTCCCATCCTCTTTTCCTCTCTGCTGCGTTCTCCTCCTCTGCGCCTTACAGCATTGGCTGGGCAAAGTTTGCCTGTAAGTATTCGCTCAGTTCACTATCTCTGGCTGTTCTCGCTCTTTTTATCTCATCCCTCCACTCTCTTCCTGTCGCTGTGTCTTTTTGTTTACACTGTGGTTACTACTGACATTTATTTTCCCAGACTCCCAATAATACTTAACTGAGATCACACTTAAATCTGATTTTGAAATCTAATTATGTAAAGAAATATCAATGTACATTGTGCTCAAAATTCAAAAATGTACATTCTGTACCTTAATAGTCACTTTATATACTCTCTTAATAACATTTATTAATAAGTATTTATTATTAGAATGCAACACATTCCAGGGAACTGATATTTTGTGTCGGAATTTGTTACAGTAAGCCTGTACTGTCTCAAACCTGACTCACAAGAAATTATAGTTTGTACTGAGTAACAGCATCACTGTTTCCTCTCAGCGAGGGAAAAGAAAAAAAACATTTGTTCATAGGGAACTCAACTTCCCAGTTAACATTCCTGTGATTCCTGCCTGTTATCGTCACTGTTGTCGTCAGCACACTCTGCTTGTTGTACTACGTGGATTCATACTGACTGTCCTGTTGTTGTCTCTGTGTTTGGTTTATTTTTGGCCCGTCTTGTCCTGTGGCTTAAAGACGAACCATGCTCCAATATCTGAAAGTGGTTTCACTCTTAGTCTTTCAAAGGTAAACACGCTGTAGAGCCTTTGCAGTTGCTTCATAGTTCCGCCAGCAGCCACATCTGACACTAATAACTTCAGATAAATATACTACAACTAACAAAACCAGTTTCCTTTGGCACAAGTAACTCTTTCTCTCACAAGTTTACTCCATAACAAGGGGAGATTTTGAAGAAGCAGCAGACAAACCAGCAGGCTCATTTAGCAAAGACACAAATCAGTGCTTGAAATCAAGGATGTCCCATTGTCCCAGGGACCATAAAAATAGCACCTGGGGCACAAAGATACAGTGTCTGGGATCATTCTGGGACAGTAGAGTTGTCCTTAAAAGTGAAACTATTACATTTATAATATATATTATTTTAATTCTTAGGCTTTGTCAAGTGGCACGCTACGTAGAGAGAGACTGTTGTTACCAACCTGGCCACATTCTCACTACATTTTACCCACTTTTCAGACCCTTTTAGCGACATGCTAAAGCTAGCTTCCACTAGATGTGCTTGTTTTGTGCTAATCAAGAGTGTTGACAATAAAACAATGATGGTCAGCGGGTTAGCATGCTAACAGCTGTTGACTGCTACCAAATATCTTCCAAAATGGCCAAAAGTGAAAGTCCCGTGCAGAAACTACATCAGACATGACTTTCCTCTTAGTTTGTTTGTTGAATACACTGGGCTATTTCTTTTGAGAATGACCTCATATTGGACCACAGTTGCGTCTACAAACAAATAGTTCTCCAGTAGTTAAATGAACGATGCAAAGTCAGTGAACTTCATTAACTCCACGAGGGGAAATGGCATGTCTGCGCTAGTTTTGCTGGCACAGTGGAAAAGTGTGGATAGCGAGGTTGGGTGTGTGAGGATCTTGTCAGCTTCATTCATAATCACCTGAGGATTAACTCGATGCAGGCGCACACACACACACACACACACACACACACACACACAGTCATCCACAGCAGCCTATTCACACACTCATTAACTCAGTGCTAGTTTTCACGTACTCTAAAAATATCATAGAGGAAGTCAGTCCTGAGAAAATGCAGGTGATGTAACTTGTGGTTTAGGGATGACACTACAACAGAGAGTATAATTTGCCCAGGGGACATATATTTATTTTTATTCATGCAAGAGCAGTGTCTTTTGTGTTGTTGTTGAATGTGTTGCCGCAATACAGAAGGCCTCTAACGTCGTTGGTGCATTTCTTTTTGTGTTTACAGAACCTGAAGAGAAACTCATCCGGCCGCCATGACGTCCTGCAGCCCTGCCAGTGAAAGCGCACCGATGTGTGACGTAGCTCAAGAGGCCAGAAAGTGGATCGCTAACAAAGACTGAAGACAATAACATGAAGTTATTGTACCTTTTACTGTTCACAGAGGACTGTGGTTTAATTGCTGTCCTATCAGATATTTATGTTCAAAGATATGTCATTTCAAAGCAAGGCTCTTAAATTCTCCTTTTCTTGCTGTTGTTAGACATTTTCTTTCTCTCTGAGACTGATGAATCTGTGTTTTCTGGGAAACTTAACATCACATGTATTCATTTATTCAGACTGAAAGAGGCAAACTGTGACTCCTTTAAATCAACAGTTATTCCTGTTACAGCTCACAGCTCAGATGGCCGGCTCTCTGGGAAACCAGTTTCTTCTGGTTTGATATTTTGGAGAGACCAACCCTCATGCCTAGATAACACTTTCAGCTCATCCTTTTTTCAACTTATGGTTGCACTGTTGATTTAAAAGAGGATATAGTATTTAGTTTACATTGTAAACTATTTGGCACTTCTTTGGAAGCACTGGCATTTTTCATGTTTCTTAAAAAAAAAAAAAAAGGTTGTCATGATTTAATTGACTCCTTTATATGCTGACATGCTACGAAATAAGCGATTATTTTGCACAGTGGGGATAAATTTGTACTTTTGTTTGTTTTTTGTGTCACAATGTGTTTTTCATGTCATTTTACGTCACAGTAATGGAGGTGAATCTTTGCCGTAGAGTGCCTGTAGTGCTTGTTTTGCAAGCCCGACGCTGCTTCTCTTGCTATTTCCCTGGAAGTGATTGCTCGAGGAGAGGCACCACATTTCACCTAATAACTCCACATATCATTTTAATATTTACCTTTTCACCATTTGAATATTTATTTTTCATTGTGTTTAGTTTCAGTGCTACAGTACATGTCAAATGTACAGTACACAGTACATTTGACTGAGTTCTCTACACTGATGGGAAACTTAATTTTCAAGTTTATTTTCCTTGATTGCTGTCAATGTCTGCTACGCACAAATGTAAGCACCTATATTTTTATTATAACAATGCGTGCTGTTAATAATATCTTTGTAAATGTTAGTGTACATACAGAATAACTGGAGATGGATGGGATGATGACTTGGAACTCTTGGGAGTCTTTTAATGAAAAATGTGTGTGTTTTTGTACTTATGTGTTGGGACTGAATGGAAAGAAGCTGTTGCTCACCTCTCTCAGTAAAACTTTTGTTAACATGTTTGCTTGAGATACTTGAACTGTTTTTTTTCGTAAAAACTTGTTTTATTATATTCCTTATTTATTTTTATGTAGTTTTAAATGACTGCTTGGAGCGAAGGCACTTTGTTTTAATCAGAGGACTATGCATGAGAGGACAGTATGTTGTACAGTTGATTTTGCATCTGCTGGACCAATAAATTAGCTCCAGGAAAATATACAGTTTGTTGTTTGCTCATTCTTATTGTCAAACATTCTTATTACATCTACACTTTGTGTTTCCATTTATGGAGCTAATCTACTGTGTACACAGTGTGCTCTGGCTCCACTGCCTTCACTATCTCACCCATTCACAAAATCACACAATCACAGTGAGTCACAAAGTGTGAGTCGCATGCTGCTTATCAGACTAATCGTGACTGGGTACATTTAGGATGTTGCTGTGAAATTGCATCAGAGTGGATAATAAAAGGATTCTCTCTCTCCAACAAGATTGAGCACAAAATTAGGTTATTGTAGCAGTGATACATTTGAGTTCCATGGCAGATTAAAAAAATACTTTTCAGGACAGAATGCTTGGTGAAAATATTGACTGATGATAACGTCACAAGGTTATTTTAAAAATAATTTTGGAATGAAATCTACATTGTGTTTCTGAAATGATACAAAGATGCAGAAAAATGTGGCTGCCAGTGGGTTAAAAAAGCGCTGCAGGTGTTAATAACCTCTACGGTTTCTTCAAATTGTAAAACATACGGTTCAATAGTCAGTTTAAATGGGATACATGTGGCCCACCTGTAAAGATTCGGATTGGAAAACAGAATCCATGTGGTTTTGAGGATTGCCATAAAATTTCATACATCTGTGTCTCCTTCACAGTGAATTGTAGCAACTACATTTTTGATGTAACGCAGGAGTTAAAATATCTAGGGAATCCTACTTAATTAAAGACAAGTTTTTTTAATTTCATATTAAGTTTAATGCTATAAATCTAAAGCTATCTGCTGGTGGGCCAAATCAAACCTTACAGTAAGCCAACTTTGGCCCACGGGCCGCACTTTGGGCTGCCCTAGTCAACATTACTGCTAAACATTAGCATGTTACCATTGGCACTGTGAACATGTTAGCATGCTGATGTGAGCACAGTACCTCACAATCACAGTTGAGCATTTTGTGTAAACTACTTGGACTACTGTTTTACAACCAAATTGCTGTCTGAAGTTGTTGGCAAGCATAATGAGTCCTAGAGGGGAAAGTGTTCATTATATCCAGATGTTTGTACCAGCTTTCACATGACTGCGAACCAACACAGCAGTGCTGCTGCAGTCTACTCACTGACCTTCTGGCATACTGCTGGTTTGAATACATTTGAATTTGAATTTGAAACACCAGACATCTACCAGCTGCCGGGTGCGGCCACACAAACAAACTACATGAAGTATGACATAGTGTTTAGAATTGCACCCTGGGATGTTGTGTGTGTGGTTCAGTCAGGGGCCAGGATCATCTAAGCATCACCTCAGTTTGAATGGTCAAAAGTCAAAAACTTTCACAACCATTGGCACAATAGCTAACACAGTGTTGTAGATTAAAGCAGCTGGTATTAAAAGGCAAAGGCCTTTGGTGATGTTTCCACCACTTTTCATTAGTGAATGATTTGATACTTTTACTGCTTCCTGCTTTGCAAATGCTTTTTCTTTTCTTTTTTTTACAGAGAAAACTGATGCAATGTTTGTGGAACTTGTGAAATTGGAAATATGTTTAAGTAAATATACAGTATTTGCACATTTTGATGATTCATGGTCCTCTATAAGATGATTACAAACTATTTTGATGACCCACTACAGTGCCATCATCAGGTCAGTGTATTGTGGGGATAAAGGAGCCATTCATGAGTGAAACATTTACAGATGGTGGTGTGACTGCTCCAGTGACAGCTGACATCACAATCATAAAGTTTTTTTTATATATATATATTTACTGGGCTTGTTGCCTTCATTGGATAGGACAGCTAAACATGTACAGGAAGAGGGGGAGGGGGGTAAAGATTCAAACCTGTGGCTGCTGCAGGATTCAGCCTTGGTACATGGGACATATTTTTTATGTTTTTAGATTTGAAATTGGCAGTGTCTTTTCAAGACTGTTGTTTAAGCTTCATGCTAACGGATTACTGACATATATCACCCTTCAAATGAGCTGAACATTTGCCATTGTAATCCTTTTTCCTCTCCTCCTCTCTCTGTCTCTTTCCCACTCACTCACTCACTCACTCACACACCTACACACACACACACACACACACACACACACACACACACACACACACACACACACTGTGCATTTGCCAGCTGAATGTGGTATTTCCTCAAGTCTGAATCATGGGCAGACTGACTGTCTTGGCTCCAGCTGGTCATCCTGTGTGCAGATTGGTTATGTGACTGCTGTCAGGTTCACCACTTACAGCTCCGCCTCACACAGTGCACACACACACACACACACACACACACACACACACACACACACACACATATAAACTCCTGTGTATGTGACTCCTGACAGGTTTACTCTTTCCTCAGCACTCACAACATCACTGAAACTCTAAAACTTACTTTGCATTTTTAGCTTTGCATATTGTTGATATTCACATTGCGCCTCTTTTCCTTATCTAAGTGTCTTTTTGTGAATATGCAGAATGTTTCCGACACACACCCTCACGTCATTGCAAGCTTTTATCTTCCACTTCCTCTTGTTTCCCTCTGAGATAAATGTAATCATTGGTGGCTCAGCTGTCTAACTATATGTTTTGCTCAGCCTAAAGTAGACTTGCATGCGGTCTGATGTTGATACTGGTGGTTATGCTGGTGTATGTGTGTGTGTAATCTCTGTGGGAGAGAGGAGTTGCTGTGTCAGGCATATGAATAGTACGTGGGGTTGTTAACAGCCAGCGCTAAGCCAGCAGCTCCACAAATAGCTGCCTAATTCTGCGCTGACGAAGGATTGTGTGCGTTCCCAATCACTCAGGTTGAAGGTATACAAAGAGAGTAATGGAGACCGGCCTAGTTGGTCAATGGAGCCGAGTCTCGGAGTCTAACAAAAACTCAGCGCCTCTCTTCAACACGGGCACAAAAAGGAGCGACATTTTGCCAACATCTACGCACACTGTTTCACAGACTGATTCACTCTCATCAGGCGACCGGGCATCATGTCTCACTCTCTATCTTTGTTGCTCCTTTATCATGACTCAGCAGCTCGTCCTCCTCTACCTGCTTAGCTCTTCCCTTATTAGCTGGTCATGTGGCCCCTGTCCCATTTGAGCTCAGAGTAATCTCGGCTACAAGTACAAGTGTACCTTTCACATACAGTTCAGTATATACACATAAACACACAAACTCTTTGACCCATACGGACAGAAAAATTGATTCCCAACCACGGCTATTTGTACCCCAGGGAACATCTGCAGTTGCCAGGGATACATTGAAAACATGTGAGCAGCTAAACTAATTTGAACTTGATAAAATTAATAAATCCACAGACAGAGAATACAATGTCACAATTAAGAGTGCATTAAGTTAAACGGTTCAATTGTATGGAGAAATATTTTAACAATATCTACTTTTATGTCAGTAATATCCAGTTTATTATATTCAACTGAACATGTCTGGACCAGGATGGGTGGTATTGATGAAGGGGAGTTTCACACACGTCCGCCAACAAAGGTCTACGAAGGCTTGGGAACTATTGGCCTACATAGATAGATATCTTCTTACCTGCATTGCATCACTGCCAGTAAATACACATTTATGTCTTTATGACTGCTAGACATCAATAATCACATGATCACTAAGTCTTTGTGAAACATGCCCGTTTCCTTGTAGGGACACAGCAAGGTCACACATTCCTATCTGGCTTGTGAGTGGAAATTTACTGGGTCAAACCCGTGGAAAACCCATCTTTAAAGACCTACTGCCCTCCAAAGAGGGATGCTGAGCTATCCTTTCTAACAGACTGGTTTGATCAATAGAAAAATGTCAATCTGTAAATGGACAAAGCGGTCATGATTGAAGATAGTTGTTTTTGTGTTGGTATTTCTTCTTTAAAAAATGTATTTGTAAGTGCATATTTCTTTAACAATTCATTTTATTTTGTTGCCAAAGGGGCCAAACTTAAATGATAACATTAAATAAATGTTGCCAATGCTGATTCTGATTCTGATTGTCAGAAAGCACACAATTAAACAAAATAAATACTACAAGGAAAATCCAAAAAGCTCAACCATCCTGCCCTGGTCTACAGTCCCTGAGCTGTGAAAGTCTATTACGTATATGACTATGAAGCAGTGTTTACATTGAAACTGTATATGCTCAAGTTGACCTTGCATTTTTTCTGTTTTGTAAAGAATGCACTACCTCCATTATTTGTGCGGTGGAGTGAAAACTCATCCCTCTCTCTTTGTGCAGAGGCCATTGATGGGGAGATTTTGCGCTCAATGGAGAGGATAAGTCATTCAGCAGGCCTTGAATGGAACAGAGCAGATTAAATAGACCATGTGTTATCCCTGATTACACTGGTGCTGAAATAAAAGCCCTTTTACGTGATCCTCTGCACAGTTCCATCATCGTTCAAAAAATTGTTTTACTGTTGTGAATCTTCCTAATGTTTTGTTTCATGTCACATTGCATTGGTAGAATGCATCTCGACATCCAATGCTTGAGTAATATTTTATTTCTAATAAAGTTAAATAATATAGAAAAAGGAAATACAATAAAAACAAAAGTAACATAAGTAAGTTAAAGTAACATCATATTTAACTGTGCAAAATGACAGCAGAATTGCAATCAAAAAATGTACAAAAGTGATAAATAAAAGTTTTTCTTACTTTCTTTCTTTCTTTCTTTCTTTTTGTCTTTCAGTTTTAGACATTAGATAGAATAGGGTTTTGTTTTGAGTGGATTGTGACCAGCTTTTAGTTTCATTTTATGTCAGAATATAAAACCTCTGCCTCTTTTGTGTCACTTAAACACACAGATCTTATCATATGTTATCATACAATGTATGCACTCCTTTTAAAATAAATTCTAATAAGTAAATACATTTGTTCTACATGGGCAGTCTGTGTTGAGTCCTAAAGGAATGCTGAAACCTTATTACCTTTAGTTGTGGGTTTGTTGTATAGGTATGTCTTTCATGAGGCTAGCAGCTACAAAACAGGAAGTCACAACAATATTTAGCAACAAAAAAGCATTAGGCAAACATCCGTTCAAAACCATGGTCTTTTGAAGATGTGGCGTTGATGGAGATTAAAGGGAGGAGATATGAGGCACAACAGGTAGGTAAACTGTTAGGTAAACGGTGCTAGCTAGATTATAGTTAATCTCTCATATGGTTAGGTATGGTGTCCCACAAGGATCTGTACTCAGTCAACAAACTACTATTATTCAATTTATTTGTATTGTCAATCTCCACTTCTATGTGGATGACCCTCATCTCTATGTTGCCGGTAATCTATCTGATTGCTGAGTGTGTTTAGACCAAGTGGCAACCTCAGTGGCTTCTTCAAAGCATTTACTGTATTATTATCACTCCTTTATCTATTAGCATACAGTATCAGTACTGATTAGTTGATGAGATCCTGTATTATGGATTCAGTAATGTCCTTCTGCCTGGGATGGCCCTGGCTGCACACCTGGTTTTGTTAAGAAAGAGTCAAGGCTGCTCTGTCCCTCTGCACTGCCACTGGCCACTTTTTTTGCTCTGTTGAATTCAGAAAACCTGTAGATGAACAACATGGAAAGTTAGGCTGTCAATTATAGTATTACGATCTGGATGATATAGCTAACATTTTTATGTGTAGCAAAACACATCTGGAACCACATGTTTCTGAGAGAAGACCTGGATCTAAACTAATGTTGCAGGCCATATAACAATCTTTTATTTCTGATTATAGAGAGGGTTGCTAAAAAAAAGATATAGACTAACTCAGGGTAACATGAAAATATTGCTATTTCCTCAGGCCATTAGACTCCTGAACCAGAACTCAACTTGACCACTCCCCCCACCACCAGGACTTAGCCTGACACACACACACACATACACACACCCTTGCACATATTTTCATTTCTGATTACATTATTTAGATTATATTTAATTACATTATTTACATCATATTAGTTAGAAATTTTTATAACCAAATGTAATCACAAATGGTACAGCAGCAGCTGCAGGTGTGCCGCCGGTCGCCATAGTTGCCATCCGAGGTACTAGTGCGTGAGGCCGCGAGGTGCGCACCCAATGCGTAATATGGTTACCATGAAAAAAAGGAAGGAATCACATTAAGCTCGTCAGACGTTTCAGAGTTTCCTCAATATTAATACGCCAAAAAAGAAAACAATGACTGTTCACGAGTCCCAAAACACGAGTCTGAGTCGAGTCTGAAGTCTCTGTGTGTGCGACTTAAGTGTCAAGTCCCCATCAGCTAGCAAGTCGGTACATTGGCTGTTTGGAGCAAATAAACAGACTGCACGGATGGTGCAGCAGTCAAATTCATATGATGAATAATGCAAGGTGAAAATTTGCTTTGCTTTCTGTCAGAGCACATGGTTAGAGGTCTGTCTCCTAGCTGTTACAAGCTGGAAAGCTACGAATTATAATATAACTGAAATATCAGGCACCAGTAATCAAAGGTTGATACTCTCCCTTTAGGGATCTGCACTGGGATGTATTTTTCTGTTAAAACATTTGAAGGTTTTAAATCTGTAGGAGAATTGTATTTGTTGTTGGCATTACTGCCTTTATTGGATAGTGTGCATCAAGATAATAAAAGGAAGTATGTTGACAGAGAGAGAGGCGACAAATGTCCCTGTCTGGATTTGAAACCAGGATGTTGTGGTTACATGGAATGTGTTTCATACCACAGAGAGCCCAGGACGCCCCCACCAGAGAGAATTTCAAATAAACAGGCATTAGAACTTAAGTAAGAAGTAATTTGTTTTGCTTTACTTTTAACTGGGAGGAAATACATAAATTAATGCCATTGCAACTCAAGTGAATATAATCAGTAGTTAGTAAATCATTACTTATTCTGAGTAACATCCCCATCACTGGTGCAAGACTGCTGCTGATGTGTGTGTGTGTGTGTGTGTGTGTGTGTGTGTGTGTGTGTGTGATTTCTCATCGCCTGTGTGTTGATATCCAAGCCCTAAACAAGTTTCTGTGGAGGGCTGCTGTGATCACCCCTTAATGTCATCTACATTAGACAATCAGGTAGGTCAGATTTAGGTGCCAACAGCTAGACACATTAACATAATTCCCTTTGGGCCCAAATAGACACCAGATTAGTCGCTGGGTTGACAAAGAGCTAAAGCTCTAAAGAAGGAAAGTTGCCAATGTGGCTACAGAGTGCTCTTGACGTTATTAGACACCAGTGGCTCACTTCCTCTTATATTGATCCTGACTCTTCCTAGGTTCTTGCCAATTTAATGGGTTAGAGATAGCAGGCTAATAGGATAGTCCCGGGCTGCAAACAAGGCAACATTAGGAAAGAGGGGAGAGGAGAGGAGGAGGAGATACAGGAGAGAAGATCGGGTTAGAAAGGAGATGAACAAAGGAAAAGAAGGAAAATGAAAGTTAAGGACAACACAAGGACAGATCAGATAAAGTGAAGAGAGGGAGATGGTTAGAAGAAGTTAGAAGAAAAGGAAGGGAAAGGAAAAAGGAAAGGGTGAGAGAGAAAAGATGAGGCAAAGAAAGTTACAAGGGGAAAAGATGGGGAGAATTTAGAAAAAATGTGGAAAGTTTAGCCAGAAGAAAAGATGGCGTTTGTTCAGCGTGAGCAAAGTCACGTCCACCTGAACTCGTCTGCTTCTCATCCCTCCTTCTTTTACCCCCTTCTCCTCCTTTTTCCTCCCCCTCTACATGAATAATTGAGAGAGTGATGTGTGAAGGCTCACGTAGTCCAAGGCATGACAGAGAGAGAAAAAAAAAGGCGGAGTAATACCAGTGGTGGGGAGGGAACTAAAAGCAGCAGTGGAGATGAAATTGTGTGACACCTACATGTTGATAGGTCTATTTCTTCCTCTCTGAAGTCAGAGCACTGAGAAAAGAGGATGCAAACATTCAGGGTTTCAAAATACATGGTAATAATGTACACACACACATTTCTCATGTATGCCACCTTGCCAAAAGTTTGACTTTTGACAACTCACCTGGCAATTGTAGACACTTTGGCCATTGCTAACATGTTACTGTGTCATTGTGTTTTTTTCTAAAAGAAGTATTTAGTGTGCGATATCATCCAGGGACTTTCTGAGGGGATAGTTGATGATGCTATTCAGAGTAACAGTTAGGAACTGGTTTTGTTTAGCTGAAGAGGCAGGAATAATTAGGTTAAAGCCTTTTTGCAGGAATAATCTGATTGGTTAAAGCTCCTGTATAGCCATAGTACACCCAAAAATATTTATTTAGAAATAAAAGGGTGCCCCTTTAGCTCAGTGGGTAGAGCTCGCAACCCATGTACCAAGGCTGAGTCCTTGCTGCAGCGGCCCAGGGTTCAAATCTGACCTGCAGCCCTTTGCTGCATGTTGTCCCCTCTCTCTACTCCCCTTTCCTGTCTATCTTCAGCTGTATCTATCAAATAAAGGCAATAAACAAAAATAACTTTAGAAATAATAATTCTGTCCATTTTGAGGTCTTCTCAGGACTGTCTGTATGTACAGGTCTCAAAGTCTCCTTTGTTACTTGTTAAGTCTGTGCGACCTTTATGATTCTTCAGCACGTTTGCACCAAACGTCTATCTAACTTTAAAGTAGTAATACAGTAATTGAGTTTTTGGCCATAAACACAACATATTATGACCATATAAATTTTCTATAAATTTTAGCAAATTGTTGCCTATGTAGACGTGGCGAAACATTTAGCATTTATTTGGAAATGTGTTTCCACCTGACTAATGTGTAATAATGCAGCCCAGTCTCATGCCAGAGTGTGTAATAATCAAGTTTAGATGTCTAGATATGAAAATGACCTGCGTGTATGAAGGTGCATTATAAAGCGCAACAAAGTTTGCATAAGATGGAGGATGAGGTGGATAGATGGATCAAACAATCACATGACTTTCACCTAGGAAACCACTTTCTGATTCTCTTGTGAAATCGAAGTTTTATGTGTAAACTAACTTGTGTAACATAGCCTATTTAACTCACGTCAAGTACGTAATGTAACTTACAATCTTTACTTAAACCTTTACCAAGTAGTTTTGGTGCCTAAACCTAACCAAATTCTGACCTCAGCAAGCTGTATTTTAAAAGTATAACTGGATGATGCATATTTGTTACTGCTAACTTGATGCAAAATGAGAATGTGTTGAACTTACGCTGCCACGCCTAGATGTGGCAAAACATGACATTGCCACAGTGGACCGTGTAAATGTGTATCACACACTTTTAGCCCTGCTTTGGTCTGAAACAACTCCTATCTGACTCTTAGGTAATAAATGCTCAACTATTGATGCAGGTCGTAAAACCAAAACAAGGAGCTGAAAGACACTAAAGTCGGGTGGTAATTCCTTGTCACTATGAGCCCTTGCTGTTACTACTTACATATACATACCGGTAACCATGTGACTCATTGTTAAAAAACCCCAAAACTGATGTTGACTCTGACTCATGTTTTCTGGTTACTTTTACTTTGACCAAGCAAAGTCACAAATGGGTCCGTGTATGTTTTGGTCATTGGATTTTCCTTTCAGAAACGGGTATTAAAAAACAGAAAACGAGTGGTTATTTGATTTTCGTTTTAAAATACAAAAATTCAAATTGAAATACAAGGCGTTTTTCTTTTTCATGGTCAAAAAGGGATGAGCGAAATTAAAAAAAATATTCGATTTTCATTTTCTTTTTCATATAACAAAAAATAAAATCACTAGAAAACAGAAACGGAAAAAAGGCCTGTTTTTTCATATTCTGAGACCGGATGTTGTCATTTACAGGACGGTGCTGTGGAGAAGAAACAGTAGGCTAGTAGACTGCGGTCAATCCAGCCGTGAGTCCGATCTCCGTGGTCAAATCAGCCGCACTTAAATTTAGAGTGTACAAGTATTCTCAGCATTATGGTAAATGCGGAGAAACAGCGTATTTACTTCCGGTTTTCAAAATAAAGGTATTTAGAGCCGTAAGCTATAATTAAAATATGTTACATTAAAGTGTTGTGCCCCTGATGAATAAAAAAACACTTTATATCAAGTATACTGCACCAGTGTGGAGAAATGCCAAAATAAAAGTCTCATATTTATGCCTCCAGAGATTGCATATTTGACATATTTGTGTGTATTAT